GCAGAGATGCTTGTTTGTGTAAAGGGAGGGTCTAAGTTTGGGAGAAAATCAATTTATTCATTGATCTAATTTGGGAGAGGTGAGAGTTTTTATTTCTCATTCTTCAATTTAAGCAGTAAGACTGAATGTGTTTGCAGCCTGTTGAGTACTGATGCTTAATTTATAAAACTCCTTTGAATTAAGCAGTATTTTCATTTATTACAGCTCTATGTGCTTTTATTTATATATTCTTTTGTTTATTTTTGGTTTGTCTACCTAGAGGCAGGGGAATCTATAATACAAAATAAAAAATATTCAAATATTTTATATTTGTGTAACTCCATAAATATTTTCCTGTTTTCCAATTTCATCATCAGGTTGGAAGACATTAAAGGATATGGATACTGGACAAAACTACCACACACACAAATTAAATGTAATGAAATGTTATATAGGATTTAGCCAAAAGTAATTAATAATAAAATGTGCATGTGTGTGGGGATGGGATTTATGTAATATACACTGTATATTTCAAAAATTCCAAACACTATAAATTGCTAAATGACATTTTTTCCCAAGGATTTCAGATAAAGAGTTGTGTAGTTACCTCATAGATTTATTGGGAAGATTAAAAGCGATAATGTGTTAAGCTTTGCGCGCATAATAGGCAGAGTGCTTGGCACATGGTAGGCATCCACTAAGTGATTTGTTGTGTTTTAGGAATATAGGGTGTAACCAGAACCTTAGAAATGTGATTGCCTTCTCTGATCCTGTGTCTGCTATGTCAATCTTGAATTATTTTTGTGATCCTTAAATGATATAGTGTAATACTTGGCACTCAGTAAATGATAATCATTGATGCTCATCTCTTTTAACTGGACTCTTCCGTTATCAAAAAGATAGATGTGTGGTGGTTGGCTATCCCAAATGGAGTATTAAAAAATGGAATTTTGAGTGGGGAATAAAAGGATTTTTTCAAGTATTTAAAAATAGAGTTCAGCCCTAGCTGATTTGGCTCAGTGGATAGAGCTTTGGCCGGCAGAATGGAGGGTCCCAGGTTCAATTCCAGTCAAGGGCACATGCCTGGATTGCGAGCTCCATCCCCAGTGAGGGGTGTGCAGGAGGCAGCCGATAAGTGATTCTCTCTCATCATTGATGTTTCTCTCTCTCTCTCTCTCTCTCTCTCACTCTCTCTCCCTCCCTCCCTCCCTCCCTTTCCCTTTCTCTCTGAAATCAATAAAAATATATATATTTTTAAAAAGAATAAAAAACAACAAAAAGAGTTCAGTCCTGTTTTTATTGAGAGTGGAAGTACTCAGAATCCAATATAATAAAAAAGGCTAATATACTAAGTGTCCAGTCTTCCGGTTGTCTGTTCAACCAATCAGAGCATAATATGCTAATGATATGCTAAGGCTACTCAACTGCTTGCTATGATGTGCATTGACCACCAGGAGGCAGATGCTCTGACTGGTAGGTTAGTTTGCTGTGGGGTGTAGCTGATTGGGACTGAACGAGACAGGCCGGACATGCCCTGGAGCCCTCCCGGGGTCCCTCACCGGCTGGCTAACCTCCCTCGTCCCTCCCTGGCCCTGATCATGCACTGGTGGGGGCCCTCCGCCTGGCCTGCACCCTCTCGCAATCCGGGACCCCTCAGGGGATGTCAGAGAGCCAGTTTCGACCTGATCCCAGAGGCCAGGTTGAGGGACCCAACTGGTGCACAAATTCGTGCACCGGGCCTCTAGTAAATACCATATTTTAAGAGAGGTCCACATTCCTGGTATGAGAATTAAAGGAGAAATAAAGTGTCTAGCCAGTGTCTGGCACAGAGTAAGTGCTCAATAAATGATAAGCTATAATTTATGAATATAATGTCAAGATGTGATATGCTCTCTGAGACAAAATTGTCTTATTGGATGAGGAGGACTGTCCCAGGATTACTGGTGCTGTCTCAGGTCAGGGTGTATCAGTTGTGAATGATACAAGTTTCATTGTTTAGTTTTATGGGGTTTTTGTGATAGAACAGATCAATTGAATAATATCATATATCATTATCACGATCTTACGTATTATGCAGTTGAACTTTCCAATCCTACTTATTTTGTTTAGACATGTTTCTACTGTCAATACCCGTGTTGCTGTCAGTAGTTACTGTTTAACTGGTCTCTTTGGTCTCAGTCTCCCCCTGTGCACAAAGTCTTGTTCTAAGCATTTCACAATGTAATGACTATATGTATAGGGTTTATTTCTCCCGAGGTACTTGTAATCAGTAGACTTGCATATTGCTAAATCTGATAGAAGTAGATCATGGGGGTCTTTGAACAGTCCAGAGATCAGTTCCTCTGTGAAGCTTTCCTTGACAGCACCCCCCCACACACACACACACCTTACCTTATTTCTCAGACAAAAAAATTAGGCATGCTTTCCTTTTATCATACCTCCCATATGTTCCACTCCATCACTGTGTTGTGACTGTTTATTTACTTGGCTATGAGCCAGTGAAGAGCAGAGATTTTTTTAAAGAAATCTTTATTGTTCAAAGTATTACATATGTCCCCTTTAATTCCCCATTGACCTCTTCTAGCCTGCCCCTGCCCCCCACCCCAGGCCTTCATCACTCTATTGTCTATTTCCATAGGTTAGACTTATGTATATGCATATAAGTTCTTTGGTTGATCTCCTTCCATCCTCCCACCCTCCCCCACCTTCTCTCTGAGGTCTGACAGTCTGTTTCATGCTTCTGTGTCTCTGGATCTGTTTGTTCATTAGATTCCACATATGAGTGAGGTCATTATATTTGTCTTGCTCTGACTGGCTTATTTCACTAAGCATAATACTCTTCAGGTCCCTCCATGCTGTTGCAAATGGTAAGAGTTTTTCTTTTTTATAGCTGTGTGTTCCCTCTACTTCACACAATGCAATATATTGAAAAATATCATATATGTGATTACATAGAATATGGTTCAAAGTAGAAGAAATAGGGTGAAACAAGTGCCTGAAAATAACTGAAAAACAATAAAATATATGTAACAATGATTTTCAAGATATTGGGCGTCAGGTTACAAAAGATAGTGACTCCTGAGAGAAGGGCTCTGTTAGATTCCATTAGCTTGCTGCTCAGTAGTTTTACCAGGCTTGGTAAAGGCATAGAAAACCCAAGCATAGCCTGTCATACTCCTTACATTGAGGAGATGGAGTTGAGATGCTGAGGAGACCGAGATGGCTAGAGTTCTTAGGGCAGAATATGGGAGAGGAGAAAGCTGAATAAAGAAAACTATAGAGTTATGCAGAGGGTCTGTTTTAAATTTTCAGCAGCACACTGATCAGCACATGAATGTGAAGAATCTACCTGAGGCTGAAGAAGGAATCCCCCAAAAGAACTAGAAGGAACAATGCTCAGAGAACATACAGCTCAGAATTACTGCTTTTTACTCAAATCAGAACAGAACCACATAATCTGTGGGGCAGTGGTTAGAGTACTAAGATAGGTCCTGCCTCAGTAATGGGAATAATAGTCATAGATTAAATGCTACTCTGGCCCTGGCAAATAAATTCTGAAAGCAAAATCCAGAAGGCTCATTTATTTATGAACAAAGTTCAACAATAGTTATAAAAAACAAAAAAGCTAAGCACTATATAATGTAAAACTCACAATATATTATATCTAATAAGATATTATTGATAAAAATTTCGTACATGGGGGTTTATTTTTATTGTATAATAATGTAAAACATCAATTAGAAGGTGTAAGAACAAAATTCTACAGTGGGAGAGTATGATCATAACAAGAAGACTTACCAATCAATCAAAATACCCAGAACCTATACCAGTAATGGCGAACCTTTTGAGCTTGGCGTGTCAGCATTTTGAAAAACCCTAACTTAACTCTGGTGCCGTGTCACACATAGAAATTTTTTGATATTTGCAACCATACTAAAACAAAGACTTATATTTTTGATATTTATTTTATATATTTAAATGCCATTTAACAAAGAAAAATCAATCAAATGAGTTCGCGTGTCACTTCTGACACGCGTGTCATAGGTTCGCCATCACTGACCTATACAGATGTTGGAATTATCAGACTAGAAGGCTAAAATAGTTCTTTTAAGTATATTCTACTTGTCTATAAAGCTAGAGAAAGATTCAAATGTTAAACAGATATGGAATCCAAATAGAAATTTTAAAGGTGAAAACTACAAAATCAGATGTGAAAATATTCTTAATGGGTTTAATAACAGGTTAGACATTGTAGATGAAGAGATTAGTGAACCAGAAAATATAGCAATAGAAATTATTCAAAATAAAATGCAAAGAATAAAAGGCTTAAAAATATAGGAGAGTATCACTGAACTTTGTGGCAACTTTTAGAGTTATCAAAAGAGTGATGGTACAAAAATATATTTGAAGAAATGGTCACAAAATGTTCAAATTTGATGAATGCTGTGAATGGACAGAACCAAGAAGCTTAATAAACCCCCTTAGCCCTAAAAAAAGAAACAACCCAAAATGTCTGTCAACAGGTGAATGGATAAACAAATTGTGGTATATTTATATAATGGAATACTTCTTATTCATAACTAGAGGCCCAGTGCACGAATTCGTGCATGGGTGGGGTCCCTCTGGGTGGCCTGCAGGGATTAGGCCGAAACCCACAGTCTAAGGCCACCTGCAGCTCCCACCTGCCACTCCTGCTCATTCCGGCCCCACTGTGCCTGCCATGGGCTCGCATCCAATCAGTCCTGATTGGGAGAGGCTTGTACTGCCACAGCAGCACTCGCCAGCCATGAGCTCTGTGTTAGGTGCCCTCCCAAGGGGAGTGGCCTGCGGGATCGAGCTAAAACTGGCTCTCCAACATCCCCTAAGGGATCCCAGATTGTGAGAGGGCACAGCCAGGCTGAAGGACCCCACTGGTGCACAATGGGGCCAGGGAGGGACCATGGGAGGGCTCCAGGCCATGTCCGGCCTGTCTCGCTCAGTCCCAATCGGCGGACCCCAACAGCAAGCTAACCTACCGGTCGGAACATCTGCCCCCTGGTGGTCAGTGCACGTCATAGTGACTGGTCGACCAGTTGACTGTCTGGCCCCTGTTGGTCAGTGCATGTTATAGCAAGAAGTTGAGCAGCCTTAACATATCATTAGTATATTACACTTTGATTGATTGTTCAGTTGTTTTGCCGTTCGGTCTATTTGCATATTACCATTTTATTATATAGAATAAGTAAAAGAATTGTTGATACATGCAGTATTGATGAACCTCGAAATATTTATCCTGAGTGAAAGAAGGCACACAAAAAGGTATATGTGGTATGATTTCATATCAATATAGTTATAGATAATTCAAACTAATCTATAGTTACAACTAGCAGATCATTGGTTGCCTAGGGATGGAGAGGTGTGAATGGGCAGGATAGAGAAATTACAGAGGAACAAGAGAAAACTTAGGGGTGATGGATATATGTTCATTATGTAGGTTTTATTAATGATTTTATGGGCGTATAATATATGTAAAAGCATTGTACACTTTATGTGTAGTTTATTGTATCAGTTATACCTCAGTAAAATTGTTTTAAAGAATGGGAAAACGAAAGTAATTTTTTATCCTTTTTTCCCATATAAATTGGTTTAGGTTTTGAAACTAATGCCTCTGGCCATATATGTTTTTTTATCTGCTTGTAGAAAAACAACTCAAGTTAAAATCTGTTTTTTTGCACCTTCTAATTGATGCTGTTTATTACTATATAATAAAAATAAACCCCGTGTATAACTCCTTGAAAGAAGTTATTTGTGTGGATGAAGTGGAGGACAAATCTTAAGGGGAATTGAAACTGTCTCTCTGAAAAAGTACATTAATGCCATAAAAATATAATCCAATCAGTTTCCTAGGGAAATGCAATAATCCTTTATGCTTTCTTGATCCTCTGCAAGAGTTAAACTTGTACTCAGTCACAGTTAAAGAAACACATTGAGGGACACATCCTGAATTATTGTGTCCACTCTTTTGGGGAATATTAATGTGGGACCTTGAAAAAGCAATATCACTAATTATTGTGTGCATAATGAGTGTGGATTTCTCAAGGAGTGGATAGCCAAGGAGCCAGGACGTATCACTAGATAAATAGTCGGGGTACATTCTTACTAGTTTCAGTTATATCAAACATATTCTCTCAAGAAGTTAAAAACTAAATTTATGCTGAACATATAGGGAAGAGATATTTTCTGTCTGCCTATTTTCTCTTTATTGGGAGCTTTTACCTTCCAAAAAATTTTAAATATTATTTTAGACTCATTTTAAATATTATGCAAATTTTCTTCTAATTTTTTTTACTGGTTTTGTTTAAGATTGTAAAAGCTGGTCAATATATGTACTTAGGTCACCATTTCTTGATAGATAACATTATACAATTTCTGTTATCTCCCCACCCTGAGGGGAGTAAGTACTACATGCTTTATTATTGCTTCCTCTCCCTGCCCCCCAACACATCTGTTGGTTGATTGGATTTGTCATCAATTTATTTTTCTAGGAAGTATTCAATGAGTGCTTCCTCATTATAGAGAATGTTGGCCTGTTGCCTTAAACTTGAACTCCAACTTGGATGGGAAAAAGTCTGAGGGTTTATACCTTTCCTCTGAAATTTTTAAAGATATCATCCATTTGTTTTCTGTCATTGACTGTATGAAAAATCTGAATCTAACCCCAGTTTTTCCAGCTTTCTACGTTCACTTGCTGTCTCTTTTCTGATGCTTGAACAATTTTACTCATAGTTATTTGTTCTACAGAAGTTTTAGTGAAAATGGTGTGGTCATTTAATCTGAAATGACAGTTTCTTCTTTAATATTCAGGGAATTTCTTTTATGTCTTTGAAAGGTTTTTATGCTTCATTAGTTAGGTTCTCTAATTCAAGTATATTGACCTTTTTTTTTGTTAGACTTGTGATCATAATGTTGTTTGCTCTTTAATTGCTTTGACCTGAGTCAGAAATTGTTGTGTTTTTTTTAGCTTCATCTGCTCTGTTTTGCCTTTTCCAATTAATGTAATGGTTTTGTAATTCTGTGAGGTGTTTTTATTTTGTCTTCAGTTTGTTTCTTTGGCTTAGAAGTTTCCTTTCTATTTGCTTCGTTTGTTTATCAACTAGGCTTTGTCGAAATATTATACTAAGTGAAATAAGCCAAACTGAGAAAGACAAATATCACATGATCTCACTTATTTGTCGAAACGAATGAACAAAAAGAATTGACCAACAAAATAAGACCCTAAGTAGGGAGGCATGGAACAGACTGACATACCTCATGTGGGGTTGGGGGAACAAGAAGCGATAAACCAAAGAACTAATATACTTATATGCATAGCCCATGGACATGGCAGTAGGGTGGTGAAGACCTAGGGGGTTGGAAGGGGCAGAAAGGAGGGGAGAAAAGGGGGAGAAAATGCGAGATATCTGTAATACTACCAACAATAAAAATTTTTTTTAAAAGAGCCTTTTTATTCTGAATTCATTTTCTTATGTAGGTCTTTACAGTTACCTCTGTAATACAGATAATTCGTGTAATTATCTTATTTCCTTGATGATGCTTTTTTCCTATAATGCAACAGTCTTGTTTTCTTAATTTGCTTTGTACCTTAAGAAACAAAATGAATTACAATATGTTACACAGTTCCTGACCCCTTTCTTTTGTCTTCTGCTTGCTTAAAATGGGCAGCTCTGTCCAGAACTATTCACATTAATTTGATGTAAGTGAATTTTACACTTTTTTCTTTTAAATTTGCTTGAGTTGTCTTCCTGTCTGTTTAGTTGCTATTTGAAAACCAGGGTGCTTCATGTTCTGAGCCCAAACGAGGAGCGGAAGACCTCAGGTGGGATTTGGACAGCTTTAATTAAAAGATGTGAGCTCCACACTTTCTCAGGTTGTTCTTTGCATGACTTGTGCGAGGACCACGTCATCTGGTCATGGAAACATGATCTGTTTTCAAAAAGGATGATCCAAATGGGAAATGGAGGACCCCCCTGTTTCAGCTGTAGTCCCTGGTGCACCTTTGCTTTTGGAAAATCACGCTTGCATTGGCTTCTCCCAGGTGTCCCATACTCATTGTGATGGTAAGGGGCTTCAGCCCAGCTTCCTGCTGGAGGAGAGCCTTTTTTCTTACATCCGTTGTGTCTCCTCTGGTTGGATGCTGGGATAATTGACCCTGGGTGGTGAGGAGCATCCTGCCTTCACTGTCTGGTTTCCTCCCATGTAGTAGAGATCACAGTGTCTGGATCTCTTTGTGTTCCTGCTTTCCGATGAGTTGCTATGTTGGTAGGGAGAGACTTTACTCCTCCAGATGTTTTCTGATTTCTCCATAAGCTGAACTCACCCCCAGTTCTCCAGGGAGAATTAGTGAGATTTCTCGGGATTTTGATGAGTTATTCTCATTCCCTGAGTCATGTGGGCAAAGAGGGGTTATGACTCTCTTCTGTTTTATTCCTAGGTTGCCGTTTTCAAGTACTATGCAGGAGTTTGTGCCATTTTCTTCTTTAGGTGCTATAGGTAGATGGTTTTGTAGCTTTTGCCTTTAGTTTTTGTCATATTAGCTTCAGGGAAGGGAGATTCTCTGATATAGTTTCAGTCTCCAGAGGTTTTCAGGAAGTTGATATTATCTGGAATATATCTCAAGTCACACAGAAAGCCACGTATAAGGATTTATGATAGACGATGATATAATTTATGACGTTGTGGTTATCATTTTCAAAAAATATTGTGGTGGTTTATTAAGTGCATGTCATTGAACCAAGCAACACTAGTTCTGTGGGTGCTTCATCTTCTGTGGATTAAAAATTATGTTTCCCATGACTATACTTAATATCACGGTTTAATGCATGCAAAGTTCTTCCACATGAGCAAAGCTGAATGTTTGTAAACATCTTCATCTGAATTAGAAATAGCATTCAAGGCACATTTCAAATCTTGAGCATGATTGTTTTCATCTTTTAAAATAATTAATTTTGAATGTCATAAAGAGATTTTAGTTAGAATTTAACAAATTAACTGTGTTTTTAAGCAAGACAATTTATAATTAATTTCTTTGAAAAATGAAGACATTGAGCTAGATCAGTGTTTACCCATCTTTCTTGATAAGAATCACCTGCTTTTTCATGAGAAACGTTGCTTCCTATGCCTGTCCTGGGAGAATCAGATTCAGTGCTCTGAATTCAGTGACTTTTAAACATAGTTGTATATTATCATCTCCAGGGAGCTTTAAAATACCGACACCCAGACTTCTTACTGGTGAATTATGTAAGAATCTCTGAAGCAGTGGGACCCAAGCTCCAGTGTCAGCATTTTTAAAAAGTCCCTAAAGTAATTCTGCTGCAGAGTGAAGTTTGTGAAACACTGGTCTGGCATGCAGTCCTTAGAAAATATCCTGGCATATTTTTATGATTAGGTAATCTGAAAAATCATTTATTAAATTATCTCTAATATTTTATCCAGTAATTCAGTTTTTACATTTAGAGCCCCAAATTAAGGCACTCTGGATGAAATTTACTACTGGATTATTTTGAACAGATTTATAATGTCCTAAAATTCTGTTATCAGAATAGGATTTGCCTCCTTATGATGTGGCAAAATTGGATTTGAAAAGAGTCAACTTTATCTTGAGGTTTTACTCCATATCACATATTTTTTTAAATATATTTTATTGATTTTTTACAGAGAGGAAGGGAGAGAGATAGAGAGTTAGAAACATCAATGAGAGAGAGTCATCGATCAGCTGCCTCCTGCACATCTCCTACTGGGGATGTGCCTGCAACCCAGGTACATGCCCTTGACCGGAATCGAACCCGGGACCCTTCAGTCCGCAGGCCGATGCTCTATCCACTGAGCCAAACCGGTTTTGGCTCCATATCACATATTTTTAAGTCTCCGTGACCTCAGTAAGAAATACATACTCCCTGCAGGGGGCACGACTGAGCCAACAATGTTTATAATGGCTTCAAATCTTGGCTTGGTTACTACGTGGTAAGCTAAGTAATAATCCAAATATACTTTAGCAATCATACATAGAAAACTGAAAGCTTTG